ATAACCAATTTTTCTTTAAATGCATACGAATAACTTTTAAAAAGTTATTTCCCAATTTTTTTTTAATAAATTTTTTTAGTAAAAATGTAGCTAGATACTTAATTGATGGATGACGTAATACAGTTTTTAATAACATTTTCAAATGTCTTCACTTGTAAATCTTGCAATTTTCGTGCAGGAAAGCACTTTTTATTCTATAAATTTGGAACGATTTTTTTTTCAAGAGCATTTTTAATTTTATACACTTTTACATTTATTGTAGACACTTTTTGTCTGTACATACATGGATATACCTATTTTATTTTACTATTTTTTCTTTATCATAAAAATGTGTGCCACAAGCATTTTTCTTAAAGAGTGAGTTTTGATCTTTTAAGAGAAGAGTGCAGTCTTTTAGTAAAAAAAAAACACCTTGGTGCTTTACTACAAATTTTTTTTTAATTGTTTTTTATAGCAATTTACTCCCATTTGTTTGATAAAGACTATAATTAAATAATTTTAATATCTAAAGGAAATTCGATTTTTGTCTCAATTTATGAAAAAATACAGAACAATCCCCATATTTAAAATATTAGTGCAGTAAAGACTGCTAAAATAGAAGAACAATATTATTTTATTAAAATGTGAGTTGTAGAAGCCATTCATTGAAGCAAAAGTTTGAAGCATAGCAGCGATTTCAGGAACAAACGATTGATTGAATGGCTTTCTGTAGCGAATTTTATATACAATTTTTTTCTAGTGCGTTTTTATGATGTTTTTAATGAAAAATAATAATTTTGCGAATTTTGCGTCAGTTGTTGACACTTAGTATGTATTGTTATTTGAGGAGCAGACTTTTAAAAAGCAGTTTGTTCAAATTTGCCTTTTTGCGGGAGAGAACAAAAACTGTCTTTCTTTTCAGAAATAATTTTAATTTTTTATATCATTGACAATAAATGTGAAAAAATATGTACAAATTATGGACTCAATTGGACACTAATTTTACGGCTGGAGCACTTAGGCATTTTACAAAAAACTTAAAAACCTTTACCACAATTCATAAAAACATGGACAAACTGTATTTTGAAAGTCTGCTCCTTATTTATTATCACTATTATCACGTAACAGTGAAGGTGTAAGAAAATTTAACTTGATCTGACCTAATCATGATGAATGAATTCTAATTTTTTTATGTAGGTACGCCACTAGAACTTTTAATAATTTGAGAAATTAATAAAAATATTGAAGGTAATTTACTTTCAACGGTATCGTTATCAACATTAAATGCATAAAACAGTGTGTGTGCTATTAACGCACTTTGAACTGCTAACGCAGTTAAACGAGGTTGTTAATAGTGTTCTTTAAGACGCAAAATACAGAAAAAAATTTTTCTTTATACCGAGTGACTTAGAACTTATGCCTCGGAGAAAGATGTGACGTGCCAACGGCAACACGTTACAAAAATTTGAAGAAAAAAAATTACTTTGGATAGTAATAAAGCATTCAGTAAATAATTCAATTTTATTTAGTATAAAGTAATAAATGTTTAGTATTTAATTAATTTCTGCACTGTAAAAAAATTAAAATAATTAGTATAATATAATATTTTGCACAGTAAAAATAATAAATGTCAAGTAAAGCACAAATGGTGATCAGCCTTCGCCACTACTGTGCTCTCGATACCACGATTTTGTTTTTGAACGCTTTGCAATTTTCCGATTTTGTTGGAAACTAAATATGTGGATATTAGTTTTACTGGACATTCGTTGTCTTTACTGTGCATTTATTATTTTAACTGTGTTTTTAATTTGTTCTTATTTACTTTTGATTTCGTAACAGAGTTGCTAGACTTATAAATCCCAAAAGCGTTGTTAGCGATATTACTACAAAATGAAACTCGGTTTTAAAAATAAAACCAGTTTTTCTTTAAGTTACAATAGATGTTTGGCTCACTGTAATTTTGACATTGCTTAATTTGCTTTTACTGTCAATAGTGCTGTTATCAAATCAACACGCTATAACACAGTAATCTATCTACTTGTTGCAGATGCTATACATGAGTATTATGAATAGTAGAATGGATGGTTTTAAGTGATAGTTTTTCAAAATTTGGTATTAAAAACATTAGAAATTTCTAGCGATTCAAAGCATTTGCTGAAATTATTACTTAAAGAAATAGGTCGATAGTTACTTATGTCACTTTTGTCTCCTTTTTTGTTAATTGGCAATACAGAAGATAATTTAATAAATATATCAGGAAAAACCAAAGTATTTAGTAAAAAGATAACAATTAGAAAAAAGGGTAATACAAAACATTATCATTTCTATGTATGATGAAGGCTGGAATTCCATCAGGTCTAACAGCTCGCTAAGGCTTTAAAATTTTTGAAGAGGAAAGCACTTCAGTCTCATCAAAAAAATTTAAAGTTTCATAATTGTTAAAATGTTTTTCCAAAGTATGAGAGTTACTAGAAGATTAGAAATTGTTTTGAAAATACGCAACAAAACCGTTTACAATATCTTTAGGAATACTGTAACTTTTACTTTCAAAATGGATAATATTATAATGAAATGCATGAGCGTGCATGTACTACAGTCAGTAATCAACAAATCAAAAAACAACTAAAGATATTTCTTCAAAACTTGCAATTTTTTTTTATTTTTAACTTTGAGATAAAAAATAAAAAAGAATGAAAATTATTGATTAAAAGGAGAGAAATAGGAGAAAGTAGAAAGAAATAAAATAAGCCAAAAATTACTGTTAAAAATTCAATATGATGATGACAATTTGAGAAGAAAACAGTAAAAAGAAAGTAAAAAAACGAAAACAGTGTTGTCTACCTTCGAGGCTAGATGATGTAGCTTCATTGAAATTGTAGTTTCAATTTTGTATACTTCTGATGCGATTAGCGATGACAGAACAATAAATCTAAGCATTATTTAAACAGAGCGTAGCAGAAAATTGTCTCAAAACTTGCAATAAGTATTTTTTAATAAAAAGATGACAAAAATATAACACCGGAAAAGGTGTTTGTAGATACCTATGCTTTGTTGAAATTGTAGTTAGAACTATTTTTTAGTCCAATCAATATTCGCATTACAAAAAAAAAACAGATTCAATAGATTTTTTTTAATTTGCAAAGATTTTTTATACTTTTATTAAATTTTCGAATATTGCAAGATTGTAATAAAAATGGAGAAAGTAGGAAGAGATAAAAAAACAAAAAAATATTGTTAAATTGTTAAAAAACATATAGCGTTAACAATGATTTGTAAAAAAAGTGAATATTAAAATATAGGGAAAAAGTTAATAAAAAATGAAAGCAGAACAAAAGAAAAATTAATATAATGGTAATTTGAAAAGAAAATAGTAAAAGTAAAGCAAAAAAAGACAACAAAACGTGTTCACTACTCTTGAGGTTAGATAATGTCGTTTTATTGAAATTGTAGTTCGAATTTTGTGTTTTTCTGGTACGATTAGTGATGACAGAATAATAAAACTAATCACTGAGTGTTTCCTAAGTTTGCAACATTTTTTAATAATAAGACGACAAGAATATAACTCCGGAAAAACTATTTGTAGATACGCTTTGTTTAAATTGTACTTAATTCGAACAAATTTTGTGTTACTATTTGAAACTTGAAAAAAATGAGCGTAGTAAGTAAACAGTAAGCTAAAATTGTGAAAATATGAATATCAAAACAAAATACAACGTGTTGCATAGTACAAAATTAATTTCGTTACATGTAGATTTTTCTATGCCGCTCTATTCTTTTTGAACCAGACAGTTCTGTCAATAGTGGTAGCTGTCAATCTTATAAAGTACCATTCCTATTTTTTTAAAGCGGCATTTTTTATTTTACCTGAAAAATCCATAGGCAACTAGAAACTCTAAAAGTTTCTTAGCTGTCATTTTGCAAAAGTTCTAATCGGTTGACATTTACAGCAAGGTTATTTATTCAGTTAGTAGGCACCAGAATATTTTACACCGTATTTTTTTTAAAGATTTGTTTTAATTAAATAAAATAAATGAAGACATATCAAAACAAAATATCGTTTTGTGTCACAAATTTTGTTGCATGATTCAAATAGTGTTCTAAAATAACAGTCGCGTATCATTTTTCATGCTAGTATTATAAATGTAAAATGTCTTAATTATTAATCATTTTACATTTAATACTTTTAAATTTGCGTTCTGCATGTTTTTGAACCCAACGCCATTATCTCGTAAAAGTTATTATCATTGGGTCGGGGCCATGTTGACCATAGTTCTATAAACAAATTGTTAATAATACCATCGTCCGATTGTAACTCACCCCGTCGGAGCATAGTAATGTAATTGCGTATCCAGATTTTACAGCCCCTGTTGGTCGCTATACGGTACACCTGCCACCACTAATTAGTAGGCTATAATGGCCATCCAAATGTCGATTAAACCTAATATACTGGCTGCGTGGAAATGAGACATTTAGTTCGACACCAGCACGTGCTCGCCCCGAATTACAAACTCCACTTTTTCCGAGGGTTGTTTTTCACCTCTACTCGACACTGTCATTAGTGAAAAATGCAATCGGAAGAAGTTTGTTTTATTTTTCCGCTTGGAATTTTTCTTGCGTTTGAATTGTTTACATCCAAGTAATTTGTTGCGGGTTTGCAGTAACTCAAAACGCGTCATGTTTGAAAGGGTTGAGCGTAGCAGTCGCCCTCAGAATTCCTTTATTTTTCGTTTCATTCCGCTTTTTGCTTTGAGTTCCATTGTCCCTTTTCTACTTCTCGCCACAAGCGGTCAATTTCAGTAAAAGTTCAGCAGCATTATTTGTTAAAAGGATCTCGTTTCTGTTTCACTTTGTTTTTATCACGAAAACTCCACCAGTACTAAGAGAAATTCCCTGAATTTCCAGCAAATCATCTGAAGTATTTATGTAACAATTTTAATGCATAGTTTTAAGTTTGAAGGATGATGATGAATAAAACACAACGCATTCTTTGAATATTTATTTGTTATCGTTGTTGTTTATTTTACATTTTTCCAACAGAAAAACTTACATAACAGGTATCGTAATTAATGAATTTCTTTAATTATAACTCAATGGCTTTTATACAGGAGGGCTAATCCAAGCATATTTTACACGATAGTTTTACAAGCTTAAAGCTATAATGGCCACATAATGCCCGTCACTCGCGCAAACATGTGGCTTTCTCTGTACATGACATGTTCTAACTTATACATTGTTAGATATACAACAGGGTCTTAACCTAGACTTATACAAATCGATTGCACATCGTTAATGAAACACGAGGTTCGTATGTTACCGCTCAAACTCTCAATTTACCCAATGTCAACACACACAAATTAATAACTTTATCCAACATAAAATTTCTGCTTACAAAAAAACATTAAATTGATTTTATAAACATAGTATACGTACCCTACAGGCAAAGAATGTCTTTTAGATTAGAATTAAGTCAGAATAGTGGGTTACTTTTGTAGTAAAATAATAAACTCGTATTTTTATTTCTGTGGATTTTACGTAGAGATTAAAATTTGATAAATTGATAGAGCAAATATAGCTATTAAGATAACAATAATTTTATAGACAGTTTACAGGTCGTAGTTTAAACTAGGCTCAGATTTTTAAGCTATAAAACTTGTGTTGTTTTCAAAATATTTTCCAGCACTAATAAACTCAGAAATCGTTCTCTCCCGAGAGAGAGAGAGAAATTAGCATAACGACGAGAGCGAGTTTCCATGATCTACCGAGATGTCAATCATTTTAAAACGCTCTATAGCTTTATGGTAATTTTGTTAAAGAATTACAGCCAATTTTTTGAGTTTTTCAACCAAGTCGTACAAAAAATAGAAGAAAATTGCTATTATTCCTTTGGTGTAAATGGCACCTCAGAAATTATCGTGAATTTCTCTCCCTTCATGTATAATATACATAATGAAAATAATATACCGTGTGACCAAAAAAAAATAAATTAGAGGAGACCACGATTAATACTCTACAGTTGGCAACACGTTGGCTGGGAATCTGGGCTGTAAATTTTCCACACAAACTGAGAGTGATGTCTAATGTCCATTCATCGTTTCGTTTTGTACAGCATCTTTGCAACAATAATAATTTGGTGCTCCAAAGTGAACATTATTTTACTCAAAATGAATAAAACGCAAACTTGTCAAAGTTTTCGCTGACATTTGATGTCAAAAATCAGGATTGCCATCTGAAGGACTTTAATCACCGCCTGCTCTAATTTTTTTTTTTTGAATGCACGGTACTATAATACGTTGTGATTGACGACGTATTTTATAGAAAAGCGTATATTGACGGCAACATAAGAGGTAAGCTTAAATGCAGCATAGAAACAGTATAAGATATTAGTGTTAAAAAAAATTGTTAACTTTTATTTAAATACAGGGTATTTCCGAACTAGCGCCTTAGAGTAAAATGCCAAGTAAGATAAGATGCCAGGAATGTGTAAAAAATATTTTCCAATTTGTTTTTGTTTTTTTTTTTAATTAAAGTAGACATAAAAATATGAAGCATGTAAATAAAATATTCAAACTAAAGACAAAATATATAATGAAGTTATCAATTACCACATTAACAATAATGTGGTAAAAAGTAAAAATAGAAATTACTTATAAATTAATGTCTATTCTTTTTATTTTTAGAAGCAGTCTGAAAATAACTTTAGAAACAATCATAAGTAATATCTTGAGTGCATTCCAAATTATCGAAATTTAAATAATTCTTACCAAAATTTTTAAATTCTTATTTTTTTAAATTTCAGGTACCTAATTTTCTTTTCTTTAATTCCATGTATATTAGATATTTTTTATTTTATTAATTTATGCTAAAGACGATTCCGACTTTTACCTCACTGGTACCGTCGCAACTACTTTTTTAAGATAAAACAAGTCAAACATTTAGTTTCTGTGCAAAAAAACAATTTGTGTTCCAATTGGACCCTCCTGACAAAACAAGCAAGAAGTTCCACTATTTCATAAAGAGGAATAAGTAAAGTGTCAGAATAGCTGTAGAAAATTCCAGAGATACAGCAATTTATCTTCAAATTAATAGAAAAACGCTTAATAATTCATTATTATTGTTTAGCAAAGCTTAGTACTTTGTAATTATAATAATCATAGTTATCAAAAAAAAAAGTAAATACTTGTCATAACACCAGTAATTCCATTTTATTTTTGATCGCCTTGATAACCCTTTATCTAACATTTTTAGCAAACTAAAGTTCTAAAGTGTGACCTGCGTAGACCAATTATAGTCGTTAAAATATAAGTTGAACCCGCCCTTACGTAGTTATATTTTTATTCAAGTTACATTAAATTGGGTGTTTTTACTTAGTTTAAAGAAAGTACTTTGTCGTAGAACTAAATGTAACCATGATATAATTCAGTGTAGCTGAGTTTGTTAATTGAAATCTTCCTAGAAATCACGAAAACATTTTGTTAGTATAATTTTTGCTCTTTCAAGTTTGGTCGACTAAATTTAAAATCAGTGGAGCATTCATCTGCTTACATTTTTGGACTATAAATATCTAATTTAATTCATTTGTCAAGTCAGTTAATGTTATAATTTGTTTTTTGCCCATATACACAACTAAAACCAATTTTATTACTTTAATTACATTATAGCGAGCGTAACAAAGTAAAAAATGAACATTGAATATTACCTAAAACTAATAAGTTCTCCTTTGATGTTCTAATGCGAAAAGTTTGAAACTTGGCGGAAACACACCCCTCAAGGTCTCAACAATCCTCTCAAAACTAGTCAACAATATTGCACAAAAATCACATTGTTTCTTCCGTCACTCAATACGGCCTCCACACCACCGCGTCACTGTTCTGTCCCGGCCCCCTCTGCCCCCCATTACTCGTCAACCTGGCGTCTTCCTGCCTCGCCGCCGCCGCCGCACAAGTCCCATTATTACTCAAGAGTAAATCCGTGGAGCCGTTCATCTGCCTCTGGTTGGTGGTGGACAGCTGATCCATGACCGTCTGCAGGTCATTATGATGACTTTGCGTCGTATGCGAATGCAGCGAATGGAAGTTGTGGCTCTGGTTGGCCGCTGAGTACAACTGCGAGTAGAGGAGACTCGCAGGAAGGACGGGATAGATCGAGTTGTTGCAGTTGCTGCTAGGATACGACGACGATGTCATGTTCTGGTGAAGGGGAAAGTTGGTGTTGTTGACGTGGTTGACGCCGAGGGTGCTTTGACTGGAGAGGATGTCGTCTTGGACGGGGCTCTCCGCGGCGCTGGAGTTGTCCGAAAGAGAGCGAGGGCCAGAAAGGCCGAAGTCGGAGTGGTTGGTGGAATATCGTGGAACTAGGAGGGACGAAGTGTGAGTACTGCTTTGGGAGTGGTTCGTGTGGTTTTGCGACGAGACAAGGCCTAGGTGCTGGTCCAGGTCTGTCGTCGAGGTGTCAGGGAGTACTAAAAAATAAACAAATGTCAGATTTTTCACAACTAAATAGCCTAAATACAAACTTGTTTTATACTCATACAGTCTCAAAATCAAAATTTTACAATTAAATAGTTTATTTTTTTTATTCATTTATATTTCTATTATAGTAACTCATAATAAATAAATCTGCTAAATAAATTTGAGTGCCAATGTAATGAAAAAGTAGGTTACATATACGTTGTTAATAACTGTACAAAATGTATTAAAAGATTGGCAGTTATTAGCATAATAAAAACGTTTATCTCGTAATTTTAAACCAATCTAAGTGTACATGTACATTTTTCAAAAATGCAGAAAGCATCCTTCCATTCAAGCAAGAGTTTCAAATTCCAATAGGCACTATTGCAGACAAAATACTTTAGTCATCATTTTTCTGTCACTTCAAAAAAATTCAAGTAAATCAAGCATTAACGTCAAGTAAACATTGATGATAATTTCAAATTATTTCCCTTGCTTCTGAGGACCAAATTGCAGGAAGATTGGGTACAGCAAAAAGTACTGTCACATTATTATTATGGTCACAGTATTCCAATTATGCCCAGATGTGTTAATAAGTACATAACGCTTCAAGAATACTCAACCCAATATTAATTTTTCTCGGGTTTTAATTAACCGATTCTCTTCAAATTTTAATCGTTTGTTTACTTCACCCTAGTAAGTAAGTAAAATTATTGCGATATTTTCATACATACTAGATGTTGTGTTTTCTATGTCACACATATATGTTGTCATCAAGGGGCGAAGAGCTTTTTACAATTTTACATTTGGTTTAGTTGATAGTGATAAAAAATAAACTTAATCATTCTAATGCTGGCTTTACAATTTTATATTACTCAAATGACATTGACGATCAAAGTATTTTGTTCCCAATAGTACCAGTAATGCAGGCACAATGCTTGAATGATCTTCTGTAACGAGTATTTTCCATTATTTTTTTTATTTCGCGCTTTTGTGTTGTTTTTTTTTAAAGAAACATTTTTAAATTAGGAAATTTTGCGTGATTTAAAAAAAAATAAATAGTGTTTAATTTTTGTGGAGAGATTAGAAAATTTACTGCGTCAAGGTTAACTTTATGTTGAGAAAAAATGAAACTGTCCACCGAGGTTTGTATACAATTTTATTCACAACCATATCTTTAATTTTTGTAAAAAAATAAATAAATATATTGATCAAGTCAGCTGTATTAGTCGTCGCAACAAATATTACAATAATCGATAATGTATGCGATTAATTGTGACAAAAGTGAGACTAGAAAACGAGGGTAGTAATGGAGGTAGGTAATAGAAGGTCAGTAATATGAAACTTTCTAACTATTGTCAAGGTTAGATATGTCAACATTACATATAGTGTATCCACGGATAGGTGAAAGGACTCTTGTAAAAGATAAAAATATTTCAATTAGAATTTTTATTTTTTGGGATTCAGTCCTGCTTGGTTAAAGACTAATTTCTAATAATTTCTAATAATAATTTCTAATATAATATAAGTTTTAAAAAATTAATTATGTCTCGGAAATGTACTAAAAAAGGTTGTTAAGAATCAACATTTAGGCCCGTATTCCAAATTTCAAAATCATTGGCCAACTAACTAATTTATTTGTTGTATTAATTTACAAATCAAAGAATTTTATTTTTAACAGTTTTTTTGTTAAGAATAAAAAGAAGTTAAATTTAGAATATTAGTAGATACTAAATACATTTTTGACGTTTTTGTTAATAGAAAGCAATTATTTTGGAAAAAAAACATGAAAAATCGATAGCCGATGATTTTGAAATTTTGGTACCGTATTTAAATCGATTTTTTTTTATCTTTTACAAGAGTCGTTTCACCTATCTGGGAACATACTGTATACAGTTGTGACTAAAAATAATTAAGACTTAAAAACGCAAATTAATTAGAAAATAAATTATGCCTCTGAAGTTTAAACTTTCTTCAGTAGGGGATAGTGAAATAGTGAAATTCTTATTTTATACAAGATGTTTTAGAACTTGCGCCCCAAAGAAAAATTCTAGGTAAAATAGAATACCAGGAACATGGAAAAAATGTTTAAAGAATTTATTTTTTTACATTTGACATTTATTTTGTGTTACTGATGATCTTATATGCATATGTCTTTTCATAATTATTTAGTAAAAGTACAAAATTTTTGTTAATATGAGCCACAAAAGAATGTGAAACATAGTTACAATTTAGGATACAGCTTCCTTGTTTCTTCTTCTATTCTACTAGTCTGCAGCAAGAAAACATGAAAAATTTTTGTAACCAGATAAATGACCAATGTTTATTAGAAAAAAAATTAATTAATTCAAACCACTATAACCCAAAACATAAATCATATTTTATTATTTTTCATGTCTCACATAATTTTTCGATGTAAACAAAGACAAAGTTTTTGCTTTTCTCCTTTGGACCAATTCCAAAAAAGCGTTATAAATAAGCATTCCAAAACGTCATTTTATTCAATTACAAGAATTGTCTGGCAAGTGTTCAAAACTGAATCAAAACTTTTACAACTCATCATAATTCTTGCATATTTACAAACAAAAACCAGCCACACATTTAGTTTATTTAAAAACAGACGCAAGAATTCGAAAAACTCCAACATACTCACATGAGGTGACGTTGGACGTTGAACCGAAAGCGTCTTGCGTGGACGATTGATCCGGGGTACTCCCCGAAAACCCCAAAGCCGGAGTATTAAACTGTGACGCCGTCGGCGCCGCACACGACCCCAACGTACTTGGGGTAAAATAAGGCGAATACGCCCCTGCAGCCCCATACCCCCAATGCGAGTTAGTGCTACTCAATCCGAATTGGGGCATATCTGAAAATTAGCAAGAGAGAGCTTTTTAGTGATTTATTCGGCATCACGTGACCGTGCAATTTCATAGCCGCACTTGATGAAACGCAAAACCGTTTTATATTGTAGTATCATCGGCCATAAACAGCACGCAGAACTGAATATTTGTCAATAATTTGCGAGCATTCCAATAACGTTAACAAAACAAACGGTTTGAAAAGTAAAGCAAAAAGCAATTAATTCGTTTTTGTGGCCTCGAATGGATTCAATAACATGTGGACAAAACACAGGTCTGATAGGTTTTATAAAAACGATAGCTCTGGTGGAGCATGACAGAGCTGCGGGTGGCACGGTCGATATGTTCATCAACTATATTATCCACATGAACAAAGTACACTAGACATCAATACTGCACCAGATACATTAACATACCAATTTATTTCTAACGTCAGCAGTCACACATTTGCTAAATTCTCCGTTAATTTTTTTTTTTTTAATTTCTAGAATTACTAAAAAATCATCCAAAATTAAAAAATGTACAATTATTAGAATATCTTATTATTATTAGTGTCACATTCTTTTTCTTAGCGACTGTACAAACCGCTAAAATGTAATTTTTAAAATGTAATGGGCTTTCAAAGGCTGTTGTTTTAAATTTTTTATTTTATCGCACCACGTGGTTATCCCACTCGTGCACACAATTTAATTATTGTGTCTTTTTTTTCTCTAATTGTTTTTAATTATAATCGGGCCGAGAGTGCGGGGGTTGTAGTCGCCCACCGCCAAACAGAATCCACTAAATCTTACGATCTCATTTCCGGCCACCCCTTTTATTATTCCACCGGGAAAAGCTCTCCGAATGAAAACAAAAACTCATTCATTACAGCTGTAAACAGAAATGCAAACAAACTAAATGATTTGAATGTAAAGTATTTAGCACTTTGCCACACTCGGGGATCCGTCAGTATTTATTTTGTGTTTTTTGTTCGTCCTGAAACTAATAAATGCTTCGACTTACTGTTGCAATTTCCTATCGGCGGCATCCTGAAGCCCGACAAAGGGTCCGATGCGGCGAAAGGAAAGGGCCGTTGCCCGAAAGCGAAATGAAATTGCTGCTGTTGCCCTAAAAGAGAAAGCACTATATTAAAACTAAGTACTGTCCTGCTCTAAGTGGAATTTTTTTCTGAAAGAATCCGACTTGTTTCGTGAGGAAAAGACGAGAAGATGTAGTATAAATCATAGAGCTCCTGGCAGCAGCCGTCGTGTGGAGCATTAAGAAACCGCAAGACTTGTACGCCAGATAGCAACTTGGCACAACTTTGTGCCAGTTTGTTCTGAATTGCTACAAACTTGCTGCAATATTAGTTCGCTTCAACCTTAAAAGGATACACTTTGGAGGAAGATCGCGTGTACCGAGAGGGTCCTTCTAAACACGCTCCGAGGATTATTCCTGCTTCCATACATGGTATTTTTAGTTCTACTAGAGACGTCAGAAATGGGAAAACAAGCGCAGCGTAATTTTAGAGAAACAACTGACATGTTGTTTTCGACTATTTCACTTGGAAAAGGTTATTTGGTTTCAAGACGTTGAAGGAAATTCTAAGATATTTTTATTCTTCAATGATTCTACTTTGCACAGCCCAATTTTTAAAAGTTCGAATTTTTTTAGAAATAACACTTTCTTTAAACTGTTGTGGTCGTTAGACGTTATTACATGTTTAGAATTAGTTTTACTGGTAAAAAAATTAACTGTAGCTATGATCTCTGTCATTTCTTTTGATAAACAATATATTTTGTTTTGTTCGGTTACGTTTTTTTATTGGAAAATAGCGTTTTCAAACTTAAAAGTTGATTTTGACAATTGTTACATGTTTTGCTAATAATAAGTAATTTTAAAGTGGTACTCAACAGATATTAATTTCTAAGAACGTGTCATTTCAACTAAAATTACGTTAGAATTATACAGTGCGATCAAAAAGTCTTTCTATCAAGTAGGCGTCCTAGTTGAAGACGTATGTTGCATGGCAGTTAGATGTCAAAAAATTATTTTATAAAAATTAAAACATTGAGCTAATTAAATTGAATTATCCTATGAAACGTCTCAAAACAAACTAAAATAAGATTTTTTTGGTGTTTATTCATAAAAATCGTTCACCACGGGTTCCTGTCATAATTTACATAAAAAAAATATTTTGACATTTCTCATTTGTCATTGCGACATTTTATCTTCCACAGACATACGTTTTAAATTTCTACGCTTGCTTGATAGACAGACTTTTTGATCGCACTGTATTTAATTAGAATTCAATTTTAGTATCTAACGTGAAAAAAATTATAAATTGAAATAAGTATTTTAAAGAGGGAGACAATGAGAAAACAAGAAAACAGCGCTAAAAATATAAGAAACGTTAAGGCCCGGTTTCTGGAAGCACATTTAACGGAGAGTTAAATTTAAACTTTGACCATGGCAACACTAATCAAAAACTCATTTCTTAGCAACGATCGAAAAATTAAATTATAACTGAGGTTTAACCATACTAGAAACATTAATAATTAATGTTGAAATTTAAATCAATTTTTTTTTATTTCTAGCAAGCATGTAGAGTTACTACTGATACTGATATTTCACATAACAAGTATGTTATACTTTTTTAAATTTGGCGTCTGAATTAGCGGTAACTATGAGTTTGTTGGGAATGGACCACACTTTTTAATAAAGTCGTTTTCATAATTATTAATATGCACCAAAGTAGTCGTTGAAAAAAATTATTTTAAGATGGCAACCATGCGAAAATTCAAACAATCCTAAGCTCAATCTTCTCCAAAAATTATTTTTCTAAATAAATGTGTACTCCAAGTAGCATAAAATAATTAAAATTAACAACGTAATTAACAAAGGGTAACAAACATAAAGATTTTTGTCATTATAGAGGTGATTAGATTTGTTCTGAATTACATTAATGACACTTTTTATGTGAATTGGTATTTAAATTAAAGATTTATTTAAACTACTACAACCTACTTGATACACATTAATATATGAGAAAGAGTATAGTTACGCTTGACGAGGTGTCAAATGTCAGATTAATAACTTTCAATTCGATGGTTTGTTCACAATTTGGTAAACTTTCATCGCTAGCTTTGACGCCAAATTAAAAAAAAAACAGTTATTATACAGCAGGGTAATTCATAATTATGAAGCAATGTGTGAACTTCAGATTTCACATGTCACATTTTCTGTTTTTTTTTCGTTTTTTTTTTGCTCTGTTAACACTATTTTTTTTATTACTCAAATCGATATCGTAATCAATTTCGAATAAAAAACGCATCTTTAATAACTCTAAAATGGACCTTTTCAAAGATATTTTAATTTAAAGTGAGGACTGCACAAGGCTGAAAGCAAAAAGTATAGATTTTGAATGAGTGATATCCACGGCAACGAATGATTATGGTCACACAAATAAAAAATTTATAATAATCCATAAGAAGAGTACCTTTTTTATGAAAAAATGATGAGACTTTTTGTTATCAAAAATAGGGGTTAATAGGTCGAAAAAAATTTTGGGAGAAAAATACTTTTTATTTTTATTTTGGCTTATTAATGCTCAGGTAAGTGTGAAAAATTTCAACAATTTTATTTAATCAGAAGTGGGGATTTCTTTTCTGCGCGTAATCGATGCCCCACCCGGTACTCCGCTATTTAATTTTTTTTGTAGAGGGGTATTCGTGGTTAAAATTATGCCATACATTTTTTAATCACCCGATATGTATAAATTTTCCCAACGAAATGAACGGTTTTTCACAGTGCTAAAAATAAAATGTACTCGTATGTAAGTCACAACAATTACTACTTACCTATAGAATAAATTTGTATTGTTTATTTAGATGGATGAATAGGTTCAAGTTGTGAGAAAATGAGCAAATATAAGATGATAATTGGAGAAGTTGCAGAACAATAAATGGAAAATACATATTTATCTTGTCTTATATTTTCTTTGTACAACTGCATTCAAAGAAAATACAGGTTGCACCAGAACTCGCGCCCCAGAGAAAAATTTCATGTAAGATACCAGGAACATGAAAAAAAAAATTGACATTTATTTTTTGTCATTTGACATTTTTTATGTCTTTTTAATGATACTGATAATCTTGTATATTTTTATTTATAATTGTTTAGTAAAAGTACAAACATTTTGCTAATAAAAGCCACAAACAACATTAAACAAAGTTACAATTTAGGATACAGCATTCTTGTATCTTCTTCTAATGGCCTGTAAAAACTTGGAAAATTATTTTTCCAACAGGAATAAATAAAATCAAAGTGCAAAACTTAAACTCTCATAACTTTGAAATTTTAATAGATAAAAATTTTTTAACATTTTTTCCATGTTCCTGGTATCTTACCTTATATGGCATTTTTCTCTGTGGCGCGAGTTCTGGCGCACTCTGTATTTGCACACAGTGAACGGTTGTTTTACTTTTTAATAATTACATTTTGTTATATTATAAGAGTTTTGCTTGAATACAAAATTTAAAATTTATTAAGCGCTATTTTAGTATAATAAGAAGCCGTTTCGGTCGAGTTTTGGCGTCAGGTTTCTGCGGTCCATTCAGTGCAGGACCACGATGTGCATCATCAATTCCGTCTGGTTACGACTTTAATTTCCCCACACTGAATATTTCATTCAGCACTAGGTATTATCGGATCGATTCAACGTTAGTTACGTTATAAATCCATGCATCCAAGTCAAATATTAAGGTGTAACAAACCACAAACATGCGTAAATTGCAGTACGCGTAATGATTAATTGTGTGTTGTAGAGGAGCGGTTGATGCAATTAAGTCTCTTTGCAAAAACCAACCCTATGTAATTTTTTCTCGAAACCCATCGACTCAGCCAGATCTATTGTAATGATCTTGAATTGATGTAAATGAAGTATCCTCAGCAGGATAGTTGGAAAAGGGTCCGAACACGTGCAGATGAGCTGGTTCTAATTAATTAATCAACCAATTCAATTCATTAATTCAGTTCTAGAGCTCTTGCGAATTTAGGCAAATTCACACTGATGAATATTCACTCGAGATCTATTCTAACCCTTCGTTTTTTTTTTCAATGATTTATTTTTCGAAATTCCTGCTGCGTGTTAGACACAACAAAGAGGGTTATTTAAGACGAAGAATGTGGAGAAGTAAATAAGAGTTCGAGAGCGTGTCTTTGAGAGCAACAGGTGAGAAAAATTCCGAAGATTTCCTCGCGTTATAATTAAACTTTTTCCTGCCGCCGTTGCAGGAAAAACCTTTCAGAAACGCGTCAAGTGTCCTCTTTCTCACCCCCGTTCGTTCCGATCTAATACGTGTCAGCAGGAAAGTGTCCAGCTGTCGCGGAGATCTCGTCCCTGTCCTGCTACACTCCGTCACCTCCTGCTGATACCAACTGCTACAGACGTTAATTAATATATACTCGCAGGAAATGTAATTATTTCCTGCGAAACGTTTCCTGCCGTAATTATTTTACATGGTTGATTATGTGTCGCAGCTATTGTGTAATTTTAATGCTGTTTATTACGGGGGGTCCTGATTAAAGCGGAATATTCTGCCAGTGACAGAACGACGATAACTAGATGAAAAGGGAATGGTGGGATGGGGCCCACCCGACGGCCGCGATAAAAATTATTATGGGACGGTGTGTGATGGTAGATGATGCCAAAGTAAACACTGTAAAGAAGAAGAGAGCAGTCGGAGCGGTCTTTTGTGGATCGGTTTCAAAGGCATTGCCGACGGGATTATAACAGATTCTTAATTGCGTTTAAAAGGCGTAAAAATATTGGCTGCGTGCATGTTTCACACCCGACGTCGCGGCGCTATAAAAACATGCTTTATAGAGGGTTTTGGCCGACGAGTGGATGCGAGATGAGGCAATGAACCGGGGACAAGACCCACCACATGACAAAGAAAAAACTCATACAAAAATAAGATTTTACATAAAATTATATCAACTTATAGTAAACAAGTGATTAAGTTATTGGTATTTTTTTATAAGTTTGCACCTTAACTCAATTTAAAATTAAACAAGAATAAAATAGTATAATATGTTATTAAGAGTAAAAGTGATAGTTTATATGGCGAAGCTGAACATTTTTCATTCAGCTGAGCCATAAACTTACTTTTAGTTTGAATAATATACAGGGTCGCTAAAAAGTATGGATACAGTAAATATAATAAAAACTATTCAACAAAACTCGTTAAAATTTGGTATATGCTTAAATGTATTTAAATTACATCATCTCATATATTTACCAAACATCTATTGCCATTTGTTCTGGGGATACAAGGCTAACTTGATTTTTTTTAATGTCAAGAAATTTAATATTTTTTCTGAGTTCAGTGATGTAACACATGCAAACCTTATTAAAAAAAAATTATCGAACTAATTAAATTTTGAAAAATGTATTTTTTTTAGCCTTGGAAATGTTGTTTTATCTATCGTTAGCTCTTTGTCGCCTGAACTTTAACCAAAAAATAGATAAACTGTTTCCCAATTGCTGCTAAACCGTTCTGAGAATATTTAGCTATATCCATACTTTTTAGCGACCCTGTATACTATTTTATCCGCAAATGTATTCAAATCGAGAGTAAAGAGTAATACAATAATTAGAAAGTAAATGAACAAAATGAACAGGACGCTTTGAAAGTATTGAAACCATAACGACTCTTATAAACAATAAACAAAACGTGTTAGCTCTTCAGAAATTAGTGAAGCAGCTAAAGCAACAAAAAAGAAGTAACATTGCGATACATATCAATAACATCATTTTAAATGTAAAAACGCTTAGTCCCAAAAATAAAATTTTACTCCATGGCTGAAAACTAAAACTTGTGTTGTGACATTTAGTCATAAAAATGGTTACTTTTGAGATGTTTGCCGATAAAAATTTATATGTATTTATGTCAGTAGCCTAAAATTTTACTAGGTAGTACCATAAATAGTTTTTTTTTCTGAAAAAACTCAAGTTTTCACAACTTACATTTCACACGTTTTTGATTAGACGTATACTATGCAGTACGTATAAAGTTGAAAAAGTCCATTAGTGACTTTTAAATGGTAAAATTAAAAAAAAAATTGTATGGGACATTGATAGATACTAATCTAGTGCATCACCTAAAATTATTTTCAACCATACAGCATGTCCCAAAAATAGGATACGATACGATGTTCTTTTAAATGAAATATCGTATGTGTCTTGGCATTTTTGGATGTAGTCTTTTAAAACAATGTTTTTACGCTAAACTTTTATTAGTCGATTTGGCTTACTTTTAGAAATAAGACGATTTTTTGACGAAAAAAATATTTTAGTGTTTTGCATTTGTAAAGATTAATAAATTAAGAAGTTTGTTAAAAGTTAAATAAGGTTAAAAATTTAAATGGAACACCCTATTTTTTTAAATCTAATAGATTAATAAATTGTCTATCTGAAAAAATAAACTTTTAATGTCTAGAATTGATAAATGAAAAGCTATTTAACATTCAATATTAATTGTAGCAACAATGCCTATTAATATCTGAGCATTGTTGATAGGTACTATGGCAACCATAGTAATTCCACCACGGATCACTTATCCGTTGATTTATCCAGAGATTGTAAAAGTCGTTATAAATACTGAAATTCAAATTATTTTATTGTAAAAATAAAGAATAATGGATTCAGTTTAAAACACAAACGTGATTATTAAGTGATATTTCTTGTATCTCTTGTGCAACTGTGCACTTTTTGAATACTGAAACAATAATTATTTTTAGTAATTAGTAATTTTTTTTAATGATTAACGTTAAATATTTTTTTAGTTATTGATTGATGAAAAGTAAATAATTTTAGAAAAACAATTCAATAATTTTTTAAATACAAAATCAATTAATAGGGTGTTCTATTAAATTTTTTTAAGTTATTGAACTTTTAACAAACACCTTCATTTTTTTATCTTTGCAAATGCAACACACTAAAAAAATGTTACAACCTTATACCTTGTACCTTCTTCTTTGCGGTTGTAAAAAAAAATTAGATGTCTTAAATTTTGTGTCATAAATTTTTAAAAACTGCCTGTTTTCGTCAAAAAACCGTCTTATTTTTAAAACTAAGCAACATCGACCAATACAAGTTTAGCTTAAAAACATTGTCATAAAAATCTACATCCAAGAACATTAAGAAACATATGGTGTTTCATTAAAAACACAAGTTTGTACAGTATCGTAACGTATTTTTAAGTTAAGTTTAAGTTTATAGTTGAAAATAATTTTATGCGATGGACTAGATTAGTATCTGTCAATGTCTTATATACAGGATGATTCAGCTTAAATGACCCATTAGACCCCTCTTGGCAGACAAGCTATAATACACAAAGGAATTATTCCTTGATTCATATTCGAAATTTGAAAATTGAATCGAAAAATATCGTTCTTTGATTCTCGACATTTTAAAAATTTAATTTTGAAAAAAGGAATAAGTGCATAATGTATTATGTGTTGTCTGCCAAGAGAGGTCAGGTGGGTCATTTAAGCTGAATCACCTTGTATATATATTTTTTTTATGTATATATTTTTTTAAATTTTACCACTGTATGTATTAAATTGTATTTTTTTGTTGAGCTGAATGCTGATGTGTGATATTATATTGTTTTGGCAATAATCGCGGGTTTCATCCCAACTTTAAAGTCGATCATCTCACGTAATATTAAAGCATCGTCATCACATCTCTGCAACATCAATCGGCCCCTTCTTCCTTCACACAACCCCCACAAACACCTAGTTATCAAGTCTGAATTTCCGGTAAACCCCTAAAGATTCCGGTCTCCCTCCCCGCTACTCACTTGTCTTCGATCTCGGTTCCCTGGGCCCATCCACCGTCACCTTGATCGCCTTATTGTAGGTGGCGACTTGTGGCGGACTGGTTGAAACCATGATGGTCAGCGTGAAACTCTTTCCTGTAACAAGCAGATAGGTAATAATCAGAAATCGAATTAGCCTCGTCGTAGGCGGTGGGGGCGGCGGTCCAAGCTAGTTAACACTTACACGATGCGGCGGAATGCCGGAGGTGGCGGCTTAAAAGCGGCTAACCGGGGACCTGACCGCGACCCGGGTTCGTACCAGCCGGTGGCGGCCGGCGGCGGCGGCGGCGGCGTTCGCGTGACGCTCTCACCGACTCCACTCCTGCGGTACACCCGCACTGTTAGATGCGGCACGCGAGCATCATCTCGTCATTTTTTTCACGGGGGGCGGCGAAAAATCGATGCGTTTAAAGCCGGCCGCTCGGCGGTGTGTTTGAGGTATCACACAAACCCTAATGGCCGGGTTAAACACATCAAGTAGTGTGCATTTTTCACCGAAAGCTCACCTACACACCTGCCGCAATTCTAGCGTGCGGCAAACCGGGGGCGGCCGACCGACGCCACCCGCAACATTTTTTAAGCCGGATTTACCGCCGACTCACTAAGCGGTCGACAAATACGAACATAAACACTGAATTTTTACCAAATAGATGATGAGAGGAACAAAGTTTTTCCAGGATTTAGATGTGTTGCAGAGTTATAAAATTATTTTCCAAATGGAACTAATTCTCATTAATTTAAACGTTTTATCAATCATTTATTGGAATTGTGGTCTTTGAAACTGTCAGATGCTTCATTAATATTTAGCGATCTGTATGTGAAACGTTGCGGGATTGAAAACATTTTACGAAATGCAAAATTTATATATTAAATTTATTAAAGTATTTCATAGTTGAATGGACAAATAGAACAGGAGCGAAATTCTCCACTTCCAAAACAAAAATTGTACAATTTTACAAACATAAGAAACTTAAAGCTGATATTACACTATATCTCAACAAAGAAAAGCTTAATCAAGCTAAAACCATTAAATTCCTAGGAGTCATCTTTGATCAAAAAATGAATTTTAAAGAACACATTGAAAATCTAAAAATTGAATGTACAAAACGATTAAATATGATGAAGATCCTCTCAAACAATTTATGGGGAGCTGACCAAAAAACACTACTTCTTTTCTATAAAACGGTTATCAGATCCAAAATAGATTATGCGTCCACTATTTACGCAAATACTACTAAGACAGTTCTTAAAAAGCTCAACCCTAAACATAATCTAGGCATCCGACTAGCATTAGGAACTCTAAGATCTGCACCGGTCAGCAACTTATACATGATCTCTGGGGAACCTACTCTAACTTTTAGGAGAGAACAACTTGAACTGTCATACCTTACTAATGTACTCAGTAATAAAGAGAACATTAATTATAAATCCCTTAGAAACAAAAACAATACCAACTTGTATAAAACCAACTCAAACATAAGAAAACCAATGAACATCCGAGCACAAAATTATTTAGACTCCTTAAACATCGATATAAATTGCATCAATAAACATTGTCCACATACTCACCCATATTGGACACACTCGCCTCCTTTAATAGATCTAAGCCTGCGAGAATACCCTAAAGAAGACACTAATCCAGCAATTTACCGAACCAACTTTCGCAATAAAGTTACTACAATATATAAAAACTTTACCTGTTACTACACTGATGCCTCTAAGAATGACACCGGGGTCGGCGCTGCTATCATAAATAACAACAAAAGGATACGAGTAAAATACTCTAACATGATAAGCATTTCTAAAGCCGAACTAAAAACTGTGAAACACACCCTCCAAAAAATCAAGGCTTCCCCCGAGCGAAAATTCTTAATCTGTACAGACTCACTAAGCTCAGTACTCACTATCCAACACTCCCAATATCCTAACAACCTTGCTTCTGAAGTCAGATCCCTTCTAAACGAATTAATACAACAACAACAAAAAGTCGTCTTAATGTGGATTCCATCCCACACTGGTATCGAAGGCAACGAAATAGCAGACCAAACAGCAGTCACAACTTCCCAATTAAGCCCAGACATTACAGACCTATATGTGGAAAAAGCTGACTTAAAACACTTTCTCAAAACAGAGACAAAAAAAATACGAAAATAAGGGACAACTACAAAAAAAACTGACTACATGCCTCCAAATATCTGAAAGTGAGAAAGATAAATTAAACCGCAGAGAAGAGGTCACAATAAACCGACTCCTAAGTGGACACACTCGATTAACCCACATGTACCTAATGGAAAAAAAGAACCCCCACAGTGCTGCCAAAAAAAATTAGACGTCACCCACTTATTCCAGTGTCCAAAAACTGCGCAACACCGCATAGATGCTGGACTAACACACCCACCGTACACAAACGCAAGACACATAATTAATTACCTTAAAAGTGTTAAACTATTAGATAAATTGTAAAATGAAATAAACAACCACTGTATTATGCGCTAATGACCGATGTAGTCGATGCGCTAAAATTAAAAAAAAAATGTATTTCGATTGGTAATAAACTAGTAAATATTAATTTATTTTTGAACAATATAAAATTTTATAAACATATTTATTTTAAACTTTAACGAATTTATAAAACATTCCAATTTAAATTTATATCTATTTTGTTTTTCTTTGTTTAAAAAATATAAAAACCCAAACATTTCACTTTCAACTTTCAAAATTTAAACTTAATAACGAATATTCCTAAGTGAATTTAAAATTAAGAATAGCGTAATTTTAACACAGCACATACAAATTAGTAATATGTTTCATTGCATTCAACGTAGAGTGATTTTATATAAATAAATAACAACAGAAAATGATGATAAAAAACTAATTCAGATTAAGGGCCAGTTTCAAAATCAAATTAAAGGAACTTTAATAAATCAAATAATTACATATTTTTAAATATAAATAAAAATCCAAAAATAGGAAAAACAAATGTGTCAACAGTCAACACAATTAAAAAAAAAACATTTTTTTGATGGTCTAATAGAGGTAGGATAAAGTTTCACATAGGCGGAATTTGGTTCTTTGAATAGCCATATTGTCATTTTAGAGTCATATAAAATATATTTCATTGAAGAATTAAAGCAGCTTTTTTTACAAGACTCTATGTGTCGCTAAAAGTTACAATGGTAATTTTAACTTGGTTAAAAACAAAAAAATGTTATTAGTCGCCAATGAGTTAACTTAGGATTTAATTTGCATTTATTTTATTACTTAGTGCTTAGAAAACTTTTTCATTAGTAACACTTGTTAAATAATATAGTTTACATCCTTTTAGTTGAAAATGCAACATTTTTTCATGGCCAACTGCGAACAAAAATTAAAAGATATTTTTTTGCTAAAAATGTATTATAATAATCTGTTACAAACATATATTTAGATAAAAAAAAAAAAAGTTTTTTAAAAATGACATAGTCAATTATGATTCCCATTTTAAAAAATACAAGTTTATCTTATTACGGCTAAACAAGTACTGAAAAAAATAGTTAACTACATTATTAAATTCTTCGTAAAAAAAGTGCCTTAATAACGAAGATATGAATTTTTCTAGATTTAGTAAAATCTCAACTTTTGTCTGTAAGTCGAAAACAAAAGACGATAGCGGGATGCGGTTTAAACTAATATTATTTTCTCAAAAAATGAGAATGTATCACTCATTTTTGGGTAAACCTCTTAGTTTTGGGCATCTAAAATGCAACACCCTGTACATACTTATTAGTCTTATTACATAAGTAGCTATTTATATTAAGTAAAATATAAGAGTGTCTCATTTTTTGGAAAGATGTTAAAATCTGCACTCCTCGTCAAAAACAACGCAACATTTTAAAATTTCTTAACTATATGAGATTTATTTATTGATTGAGTTCACAAAAGAATTAAAAGCATTTTGTCACTCGGTTGTTTGCAATACTGCAACCGGATATGGCTTTAGTTTACAAACAATTGATGTAACAAGATTGTTGGCTGTAACTGCACTTAATTTGAATGCAATTTGATGTGTAAAATGAAGCTGTCAAATGGAAATAACCAAAAGTACCTAGTATTAATTTCAAAATTCATTATTTTTAATCACTTTGTATAAAACTCAGAATTCTGTTGAAAAAGGGACTTGCTATTAGTTTTCAATAACTGTTCGAGAAATTAGTTGAAAAACACAAATGGGTTCTATTTTTTTACAATTATGAAAATAGGATACAATCTCAGGTTTGCACTAAGAAATTGTATTCTAATGTTAAATAAAAAACAATATGACTATGGCAAATATGTCTCACACATAAAAAACAATTTTTTTTTTAATTTGGTAATTTTAAAAAATTGCATACTGCTTTATCTGTAAATTTATTATTTATTTTATTAGGTAAATCAGAAAGATTCATAACAGAAAAAATAAGTTTGTCTCAAATAATTTGTGGCCCTATAAACCCAGCAGAAAATTTTTGCCATACGATTTGTTTGACCATCAATAAGTAAACAGTGAACACTATACATAGATGCCAGCTTTGTACCTAAATTTATTTACATATTTTAAAAAAATAATATTTTTTTGTATTATTCATAATTCAAGAAATAGATGATTTGAGATTAACTTTTCATAATAATCCGATAGCATTTGTCTGAGCCGTCAAACCGTTCCAGGTGAGAATCGCTAATCCGGTATTATCAGCTGATTATTTGAATCCAGCATGTTTCTCGTTAATTACTTCTCAGCGTCTCGAGATTGTGCGAACGAATATCTAGATATCCTCCCTCTGGTTTAGTCAATGATTAATGTAACGGTGTTAAGAGAACGTCGTCCCGTGTGATGGGCTCTCTTCTGTCTTCTCTCTCGTATATCGATTCGTTTTGCGGAATTAAGCCGATCTAATCATCGGCGAGAGCATTAAAATTGATAACAACACAAAGTGCATTAGTAAAACCAGATTAAACAAAAAGCTTCTAAAAAAGGAGCTTCTGGCCGACAACGATCAAAATAAATATTGGAGAGAAACACACACAAAGCCGGCCAGTAATCCGGTCGACCAACAAGCGAGCGTAGTTCATTTCACCATGTAAAACGCAATCGATTATGTACACTTTTGGATTTATTCGTCGGCTGGTTTAATGAGTTTCGCGGTGCTTGCTACTGAACACAGGGGCGGAGATACGGACTCGGACACCCCGCAGACCGGCCCAGACAACACCATAATGACTATCCGCACGACATTCGCACCCTTTCACCTTTATAACCCACAAAGTTAACAAAAATAAAACTACTAGGTACTTTGTTTGCCCCTAAACTACAAAAAATTAAATCCAAAAAAATTAAATCAAAAAGGGTAAAAGCTTCAAACAATTGTATGTAAAAAGGATAATTTTAAAACCGATTTACTGTGGTTTTGAAATTACGCTAGCAACATTGAATAAAATAGAGACCTAAAATATGAGAAGACTAAATACATATCTCGGTATTTTATTCAACATTGCAAAATTAATTTCAAGACCACAAGCCATTTTACTCAAAAATTTAATAAGTGACATGCCTCCAAATTTGCAAAATTGTAAAGTAATCATACTGATTTTGCATATAAAGTTACAAATTAAAAGAAATTGTAACGACGTTTCGATTTATTAATAAATCTTCTTTAGGTGCATCTACTGTCTTCTTATAAATACAGGCTGCTCATTTTACTTTGTGTAAAGTATTATAACTATTTTAAATCGAATAATCATAGTCGGTGCTTGACTATTGACATTGAAAACTTCAAAAAAAATTAAATTCAAAACTCAAATGTATACATCTTCTCACTTCAATTAATTGCTCATAATCTTCCGAAAAACACGATTTAATGGAATTTTTTTTCTGGGTATCTTATACCATAAGGCGAACTGCGGCATTCTCACGAATTAATTATAACTGAAATTGATTTTGCAATAAAAACTGACAAAATTCCACGATCTAAACAGCAGCTGTCTATTCGTTTATTAAAAAAATGACATTTTAAACACAAAGCCCGTCACATTCTTAAGCCAATAAAATCCGTTACCTTGTGTGTATCGTTGAATGTTCTATTTGCTCCTCACTTGTAAATAACTATTATAAACAGTACAAAAAAGGTTCTGACGTTTGAACAAAATATTTCAATATTTGAAAAATTCGTACAGTTAAGGACACGAAATTTTGGACAGGACTGTCAATTTACTGACATCATTTCCAAAATGGGCATTGTTTATTATCTTTATTTTAGGTGTGGTCACAGAGCGATTGTCATTCTGACAGTTCTTTAATGTAATTTGAGATATAAATTAAATTATTTGACTTTTAAATATGTTATGACAATAAAGAATGGTTTAGACTACAAATTTTTCTATTTACACAAAGATGTCTGTCAGAAATTTTGTTCCTTTAGACGTATATTGTCGTATCAACAAGAAATTACTGCCTAGAATTTAGAGATATTTGTGAATAGGTTGGCATAAATTTGGTTAGGTTGGTTTTTGGTGACACACAAAAGATATTGTAACCAGTGTCAAAATTTAGGCTGAATCACCTGTCAGCTTGTATGGATAATTTAATAGATAGTTGACAGCAGGTTGACAGAAAACGTCAAGGGGTAACTAACTTTATGCTTTCAAAATTACTTCTGAAAATTCTAGTTACAATCAACATGAAAATAGTATATTAAAATACAAGTTGCAGAAGGTATCTATTCAAGCACAAATTTGAAATGAATGCTTGAAGAACCTTCTGCAACAAGTGCTTTATACTATTTTATTCTATTTTGCCGCTTTATATCATTTCATAAATTAAAAAACAAAAATTTTAATTTTTTTTCTAGAGAATTTTGCTTTGGTTGGCCACATTTGAAATTAAATAGTGAAGAAAGTCCGTCACTAAAATTAAATTGACGCCGACTTATTAAAGCACTTAAATGACGTCACTTGAGTGCTGGAATAGTCTTATCCTAAACGCAAAATAGAAAAACGTAATTTTTCTAAAAGTTCAAATTCTGGGTGGTAATTTCTTGTTGACAAATCCCATAATCTGGCTAGCCAGTTATGAGACATTTTCAAGATGAATGCATTGACTTTATAAATTGACATTAACTTGTGAAACACAAATAAAAACGATTTTTTTTTGTATTCAAAAAGAAATTATTAGATTCTGAAAAAAAATTAAAAACATATTAATGAAACGATTAATAATATATGTATTCATTCACTTATGTCGTTATAATCTGGAGACTTGAACGCTGGAGCAAAGAAAATTCTCTTAGACGGTTTCGTCTCCGTCGGTGAAAAGTCGTGCGCGCATGCCGAAAAATGGGAAAACCCGCCTCGCGGAAAACCGACTTGTCGCGGAAAAGTGTCAACAGATTATAAAAGTTAATCCGGCGTAAAATGAGCTGTTTGTCTGACGGCACCCTTTTCATTTTCTCGTCACGAAATTAAACCGACAACGCGACTGGATACGATTTCGTTTAAAAATAAAGTTTGAGCTGGGATTATAGAGGGCACAAAACGGACGTTTTTCCGTTATGTTGACACAAACCGGGAGAGTTGACCTAAACGCGAGATTTGTCAATAGGGTTAACCCGAAGGTATTATCGACCCAATTATCTACAAAACAACTCAACTTGTGCCGTTAATGTTAGATAGAGAAGAAGACGGTTGCGACCCCGATCAGAATTGTAAAATTCAAATTGATCCTGAAAATTTAAAAAGGGAGAGCAAAAAACACCGGCATTTGAAGACCTGTTGCTGTATCTCACATTAAAACGTGCTATTTCAACTGTTTTTTTTTATTTTACATAATAGCGAATGCCTAAATGATATTGACAAAAATTTTTACTCTACTTATAAATACGATGTCACAAGAAAAAAAATATTTTGTTTTTCTGAAATGTATAGTTTCTCATTATTTCCGAAATTATTGTTTTTAAAAAAGACATTTTGATTTTAGAAACCTGAAGATGTCAACGAATATTTTTTATTGTGTGTCTACAATATTGCTTCTAAGACACACTCATTTATTGTCCTTTAAGAAATAAATAATTATATTATTAGGAACCGTATGATTTGTTTGTAAGACGAATTCAACCTCAAAATTATAAAAAGTCTTTGTTTCAAACTTATGATTAAATCAATGAAAATGTACAAATTGAAGTTAAATTTTATATTTTAATTTTTTTCTTTAAATTTAAGTTTAAGTTTAAGTTTAAGTTATTCTTGACAATAATTTTTTCAAAAAGGTTATATTGTAAATGTTGATATTTAAATCTATTTGTTACTCTTTATTATTACATTCCAGCGACGTATTTTTCTATAAAAAAAATTAATTTTCGAGGAAAATTGTATGACTCTATCGAAGAACTAAACTGAATTTAGTATTTAATATGATTACCATAGCAATATAAAAAATTTCCAGAATTTTTTTGACTCATTAGCTAAAGTAATAATACAATAATTGCCAATTGACTGTTTACAAACATTTTTCCAGCAAGTAAATAAATAAATAAAACAAATATATATGTAAATTACTAGGTATAGGTAGCTATACTCTTTTTTATATTAATGTGCATCAAGTAGGTTGTAGAAGTCTAAATGAATCTTTAATTTAAAGTCCGATTTACACAAAAAGTGTCATTAATGTCATTCAAAACAAATTTAATCACATCAATATTGCCAAAAATCTTTATGTTTGCTATCCTATGTTGATTACGTTGTTAAGTTTAACTATTTTTTGCTATATGGGATACACATTTATTTGAAAAAATAATTTTTAGAGAAGATTGAGTTTAGGATTGTTTGAATTTTCGCATGGTTGCCACCTTAAAATGAACCTTTTCAACGACTACTTCGAAGCACATTAATATGAAAACGAGTATGCAATAATTCATAAAAAGACTGTTCAAAAAGTAAAGTTAAATGTGTACATTTAAAAAAAAATGACAAAGATGTCATACGAAAAATTTTAATATAAAGAATATTGTTTAATATAAAATATATTTTCCCTTATAATATCCCAAGTGCATTGATTGTTTCCCGAAATTTTTTCGTGTGATTGTCGAAAACGTCATTAATAAGCCCGAATGGAACCAATTACGAGAAAAAATGTCCGGATTCGAGAGGCATTCGGGTGAAAATTGCATGACATCACGAATTCAAGTAAGTACGTCTTAGTTTTTGATGTTTAAAATAAAGTTTTACTAAATATTTGAGCTTAGTTTTCGTGTTAAAATATTTTAGCTAATGAGTCAAAAAAAATTCGCCAAATTTTTGTGTTGCTATGGTAATCATATTAAAAACTCAATTCAGATTGGTTAGAGTAATGCAATTTTCAGTATGAATAAAATGTTTTATTTATTTAAAATTATAAACAAAGGTCTAAATCCTGATTTATTGAGTAAAAATGCAGGAACTATTTAACTCATTTATAAGCGGCTCCCCATGGATTGCTGTTGCAATATGCAGTATTGATCAAACAGAAAATTGCTTATGATTTATTACCGGTACTTATTGCAACTTGAAATTAGTATTAATAATTGAATGATATGAGATCAAACATCAGTAATTGAAAATAAAAATGTGCGAGTGCAAATAAGAGAAAAACATTAATTTAAAATTCCACATGATATTTTAGATTGGCGTCTATTTTAAAAACTAAAAATAAAAGTGCATTTTTGTGAAAAGGAAAACGTTTGGCTTGTTTTTCCATGGCAAAAATAATTCAAATTCCGCAACAAAGCCATTTCGGAAGAGTGTTATGCTTAAATGGGTTACTTCGGCAACAACGGCTATAAGCCATTACCAGATTAAACAGGCAGGTTTTTATGTCAGTCTGAATTGAATTGTGGCTTGTTTAAAAATGTGTAGTGGTTTTTTCATCCGCATTTTTCCATCGGTTGGGGTTGAAAATTAGCGACGGCACCTCCTAACCGACTCACCTCTTCCGCTCCTTCCGACGAACCTGAGATCGTTAAACTTGGCCACTTGGTTCTTCATAACCGCCGTGGAGTTCCTCAATTCGGCACAATAGTTCTCGTCGTTGCCCGCCCTGACGGTGACGACAGTGCCGTCGCCAACGTCCCCAAGAGCCACCACTTTGAACGCCACCGGCAGCGTCTTGTTGGACCTCCAATGGGGCGGGAGCACCGTGCACACAAACAGAGGACTGCCGGTGCGGATCAGCTCCCCCGGGTGCTCTGAGAGGAAGTCGTTGAGGGTCCGCTCGGCGAGGATGTCCGACGTCATCTTAGTGTAGGTGTCGTTGATGACGCTGGAGCCTTCCGGCGAGGCCGCCGTCCCCGTCGCCGTCTGCGAGTTGGCCGTCAAGTGCATCGTGGGATTCCACTCGCCGAACATCAAGTCTCCAGAGGGGCCCCCATGGTCAAAAAAAGGCGCCGCGTGACACGCATCCGTCGGTTGCTAAGCAACACATGACGTAATGTCAACACTTTTTCTGAATGAAAACTTGGTGGGGTGGAAAAATGGGGCGCACTTTTACATGCCGCGGCGTCGGGACACCGTGTGGAACGCGTCGCGGGCGTCGTACAACTGCGGGGTTACCACACACGGAGCGGCACGCACGCACCACACACGAGGAGGCGGCCGACGCGACTACCACCTCGGAGGAACCACCAAGAGGAATTCTTCCAGAGGAGGCTCCGAGACGCCGAACCGCTTCATCTGTTTCGTTCTATCACGAATTTGACCAAACTAAAGGCTTTAACAGTGTGTTGTTGATTAACTACCGAAAACACATGCGAGGACCTACGTCCTCGTCGGCTCCTCCACCAGACCCACCGAAGAACAAAGACAGCCAACCGGAGACACGTCGCGGTTTGCGTCCAAAAGCAGTAGCACTCTTGCGCTTGATAACCCTTTGGTTATCAGGGGAGGACGACAGAGACACCACCATCTGCTCTCTTTGCGTCAGAAAAGGACGACTGAATTCCAGATTAAAACAGAAGCTAACATAAAGGGGTACGTGCTAGAAGAGGATGAATGAACAGAGATTCCAATGTGTAGGAGAAAGAGGATCGTGTTTGCGGTCAAATTGGGCAGGGCTTGGCGGTAATAAAGGAGCGAAGTATATAAATTGGCGTAGGAGTGACAAGAACGCGGTTTATCAGCATGTTGGCGAAGGCGGCGCAGGCGTCACATATGCTGGAACGAGATGGGCGCCAAAAGCGCCGCGACGGGGGCTGTGTTATTGCCACCGCCGCGATTGTCATGTGTTTTGTCTTCGGTGGCGGCTAACCGGAGCACGCCGACATCCACACAGAGCTCCCGGATCAACACGGCGACGAGGTTCACACCGACCGCACAGTTTACGTGCTGTGTGTGGAACGGTGATAACAACGATATGCCAAAGATGAGAGTGGACGAAAAATTAAGGGTAGCTAATGTGCACGTGGTTTATTTTTCTAAAAAAAAAATTACTCAAAAGAGTGTTACCAAAAATGTTTTACATTCCACAATACGCCTGTTTTTTTATAATGTGGTTGAAACTATTGTTCTGGAGTTTATTGTTTATTTAATACTATTGAAATAAACACAATAACAGAATCTATTCAATTTAAATTTATAAATGAATAATTTTAGATAAAATGCATACATACGAATCTACGTTACAAAATGACCAATCATTCATTTAATATTAAAATCTTTTGAAATTATGGGAGATTGGTTTACGCATTTTTTTAAATAAATAATTATACGCAGCATAAATTTAAAATTACAAAAATGCAAAAAAAATATTGAGAAAGTATGAAAAGTGACAAAAAATATTTATGTTTTAAAATTGTAACGGTATGCATGGTGGTTCAAGAAAGTCACATTTATATGTTAATAAAAAAATCGTATTAGCGATGACAAATGGGCAACACTTCACAGCACCTTTTGAACCACCTTATCTAAAAATCTAGAATCCATCATAACAACAAATTTGTAATGTTTCGTTGTCGATCTTACCTCTACAGAAAATGCTAAGATTTGTCACTTTTCTTTACGTCTTATTACGTTGATAATTTTATTTCTTTTCATTGATTATGATTAATAACAGTACATTCAACTAAGTCAAAAGTTCCTATTACAAAGAATTCTTTGAGTATTTTTTCACGAGACATAGCTCTTCTAAAGTTAGATCTTTGGATTGAATTTTTGTCCGTTCAGATCATGTATTCTTAAATTTAGTTAGCAGAAACGGCAGCACTTGCAATATTAAATATATACCTGTTAAAAAAAACACCAATTTTTGTCTTATTGTGTTTAAACTAAAACATTGAACAATAAATTAAATCCGACAATAGCGAAAACAGAAAAACTAAGGTGTCTACATAAGAAGATGGAAATTGTCAGTTGTTTTTTTGTAAAAAACAGCTTGAAAAAAAATCTGCATTTTATTTTTACGCTTAGCTGAAAGTATTCTATCACCATTGGAGGGTTGGTCTGACACTTTTAAATAACCCTGTATGAACAATAAGAGATTAACGTTAACCATTTTAAACGTAACAAAAGCCGACGTAGATGAAACCATCACCATTCTTTTCTTGTAACCCTTATTTTCAAATGCGTTTTTTTTTGGAATCTAATGGGTTTTAGAACTTAGTGTGTTACTAGTGCAGGCTATCAGACCACAGGTCCTGGTAAAATTTCAAATTGGAATAATTAGACCCTCATCGTTTTTGGACTCTTGGATTCTTCAATTGTTTTGCTTATTTCAAATTACTATAGTAAAACTTCCAAAAGTAGTAGAAGCTAGATAAAAAAATAATATCAAATAGCATCTTTAAAGAGCTTTTCTACTTTGCGCTCGTAATAAGGCCAGTACAAATGAACAAAACCAGTGCTATAAAAATTATTTTAGAACGAGGAAAATTTAGTCTTATAATGTTGGCCGTATTTCTAGAGGCGTACATTGCAAACGCCTTCGACAACGTTGGAATTAATTTTTACGAATAAAATAATGACGTCACAAATTAATTTAAAACTGCCGCAAAATTCTCTACATTCCAAATTTTTTTTGTTTAAAAAAGTGTAAAGTAGAAAAAATACTGTATTATATCTCGTTTATAAAGCATTTTCTCGCACTTACCGCTTTATGACACTCCTCGCTGCGCTTGTCGTGTCCTAAACCCGTGCGTGCGACAAAATGCTTCTTATAAAATTTGTATCATAATATACTATTATTATCAATCTTAAAAAAGTTAGTAACAGTTTTGTTTGTACTTATTGTGGTATAAAAACCTCTCGATTGATGATATGGTCCTCTTTAATTATCCTGTATACTACTACCTACGACTCAATTAAAATTTCTGATGAAAGTAGCCTGTAATTCTAAAATTTAGTTCTTAACACTGAAAAAATTAAAGTAGAAAATATGAAATTTGATGACGGCTTACATCCTAGGTTTTTCTATATGTATTCTACAACGTTATCAACTTTATTTGAAAGTTACATCACTCGAATCTCAATTAACACAAATTTAATTCTAGACATTGTACAGTGCGATCAAAAAGTCTTTCTATCCAGTAGACGTCCTAGTTGAGGACGTATGTTGCATGACAGTTCGTATGTTATCTAGATGTCAAAAAAATATTTTATGAAAATTAAAACATTGAGCTAATTAAATTTAATTATTCTATGAAACGTCTCAAAATATCCTAAAATAAGATTTTTTTTGGTGTTTATTCATAAAAATCGTTCACCACGGTTTCCTGTCATAATTTACATAAAAATTATTTTGACATTTCTTATTTGTCATTGTGACATTTTATCTTCCACAGACATACGTTTTAAATTTCTACGCTTGCTTGATAGATAGACTTTTTGATCTCACTGTAGAATCGTAGTATGTTTGAAAACTAAATAATAGTATATTATTCACGAGCATACAGGCTGCGCCAGAACTCGTGCCTCAGAAAAAAATACCATGTAAGGTAAGATGCCAGGAACATAGAAAAAATGTTAAAAAAATTCTATCCATCAAACTTTCAAAGTTATGAGAGTTTAGAATTTGCACTTTGACTCTATTTATTTCTTTTGGAAAAATAATTTTCCAAGTTTTTTTTGCTATAGGCTATTAAAAGAGGAAACAAGGAAACTGTATCCTACACTGTAACTGTTCAATATTATTTGTGGCTTTTATTGGCAAAATTTTTGTACCTTTACTAAATAATTGTAAAAAAAACATATACAAGATCATCAGTATCATTAAATAGACATAAAAACTTTATTTATTTCTGTTGGAAAAATAATAATTAAATAATAATAGTTTTTTTGCTACAAACTATTAGAAGAGGAAACAAGGAAGCTGTGTCCTAAATTGTAACTCTGTTTGATGTTATTTGTGGCTTTTATTGGCAATTTTTTTGAACATTTCCTAAATAATTATAAAAAACGTAAACAAGATCATGAATATCATTAAATAAACATAAAATACATGTCAAATTTTTTTACAGAGAATTTTTTAAACATTTTTTCCATGTTCCTGGTATTTTCTCGTACTTGAAATTTTTCTCTGACATATCCTGTATAATGACGGCTGTTATTCATTCAGGAAAGTGAAGTTTAAAAACGAGTCGTAGACGAGTTTTTTAATCACTTGAGTAAATAATAGTCATTATATGCGAGTAAAATATTATTTTATGCTGAACGACTATGAAATATTTTCAATTGTTAGTATTGACAAAGTTGACGTTTTAGGTTAATTAATAAAAATGTCAAATTACGTTCAAACAGAGTAAAGTCGTGGAATATGAATTTATATTTTACGAGTGTAATAATCGTACTACATTTATTACCGTTTTCTTTATATTTTTAAGGTCAAAACTCAAATTAGTTCTCGGTCGCCAAACAATAGTTGCATGAGTTAATCTCGTATCAAAGTTCGCACTCGCAGGTCGCTCCACTAAACTTGCTCTTAATTTTGACAGTGAAAATTGAGTGTCAAATCAACCCAAGTTTAATTATCTCGAAACGTAGATTATTTGTAAAAGTTCATGTTAACCGCCCCTTGGCAACAAATCAAATCTGTAAAATACACATAACCTGCAACCCTTGCAATATTAAAGTGTTGCTGAAGTTCCGGACGACCCCTATGCAAATAACACGAATGACGTATGTGCAATTACTGTAGATGTACGACATTCCGCGGCCCACGTCGTATATTAATTCTAAGACCCCGATCGTGCTGACCCCAACCAGCCCTCGCTTTCTCCAACCCCTTCGTTACAATGCAAAGTATTATCTCCAACTGGCCATCTCTACACTGCACAATCCCATTCTGATATTAAGCAAAAAATCATAATTTTCATTCGGAAAAATTAATAGTGAGGTTGTGACGAGGGGTTTGAGTTTGATGAAGGCCATTCCTGCGAAATTTCAAACAGTGTTCCTCACAGAAATTCCTCTAACAAGGTCCGTTTTCGTTAACAGTGTACTTTTCAACCCTTGCTTCATATATTCACCCCTTGGACAGTGGCCGGTTAAATCCACCCTTTACTTTATGTCCGAACCCTTATTGCGACGTTGCGAAAACACCGTCGGGATTTTATTACAAACATAATTTAAGCAGAGATTTTATAATTTGCTGTTAGGTAAATTAACCCGTCCAGAATGGATTCCACGAGATGCCCTTTTGTAAATATTTAATTTTGGCAAGTCGTGTCATCCGA